ATTTATATCAACACCTCAACCTTCTTCAGCTCTGGAAGGTTAAGAAAACCACCTTAAAAGAGGCACAAAACATGATTGAATTTGCTCAAGGTCATGTCACGAGTCAACATGAGCAATAGATATGACAACCTCACTCCCCACCAGTCTGCACTAATCAGGACTGCATTCTCCATCTTATGTTAGAGCAAAAGATCAAACTCAGGGGTAGAAAGCACCTTTTCAAATTATCAAAGTTTTTTCTGGAAAAAAAGTAGAATTCAAAAATATATTAATCATGGAATAAGCATCATGTGGTTTCTGAGATGGAGAAATTTAGAAAAAGACAAAAAGGAAGAGAACATGAATGTACAAGTGAGAGGGCAATAATAAGGGAAATAAAATAATATTCTCCTGAATAGCAGGGTACAAAAACAGTATGGAAATAACATAAATCAAAGATGCTTCTACTTTAAAGAATGTATAAGTGGCAAGGATCCTGTATTATAAAATTAAATAAGGAGGTTTTTTTTTTTAATTTTATGATTATATTGCAGGAGCTTGTTAATTTTAGGTTATCTTTTAATTATAAGATAGCTCAGTACACTTATAATATGATTTATAAAAATTATGATTTCTGCAGAATTGTTGAGAACCATATCTCTTGTCTAAAGTAAGATATACCAATATACATGGGATAACCTGGGACATGGGATAAACATGTCGCAGCAAAATGATTGGATTCTAAGGTCAGGGCCTCTTACTCCTGGATAAATTTCTCATGTTTACTCTACCCATGCTGCATTTAACAGATGGTTGATTTCATAGTGGTCTACTAGTGAACATACTCTCCTAGGACCAGATGATTTGCACTTAATTGTAACTCTAGCTGTATGATATTAGCAAATCAGACCCCTTTTCCCAATCTGTTAAATGAAGATAATAATGCAAATTAGTCTTCTGTTAACTATGCATGTGTGAAATGGTGAATATAAACATGTGTTGAGACCTATATATACTATATGATATTTTATGATACTTATTTATAATAATAATAATTTTGGTAAACCTTGGATTACTATTTTATATCCTCCATTGATAAAACACCCAGTATTTTATTCTCTTGTTTATTAACATGTGCTACACTGCTCCTTTTCTTTATGTCAACTAGCCAGTGCAGGTGTGAATCCTTGTGGTTCCTTGCCAATCCAACTTGTTCATTTGCCTAAACATGTTTAATTTTTCTTTTCTGTATCCTCATGATTATGCAGTTTGACAATGTTCTAAATTGAATGTTGTTTTCCAAACACATTTTCCTAGAATTTGCATGGAGAAAGCTGATGTGATCTCCCTCTTCAAACTTAGTGTAAATTGCTTTTGTCTTTTTGATACCATGATGCCATGTTGCAAAGTTGCATCCCAGTTAGTTGTGTTTAGAATGTCAGTGGATCTGGGCTGAGGATTTAGAGTTCTGGGTTTTAATCCTGACTCTGTTACAAACTCCCTTGTGACATTGTGACTTGGAAAATTTAAGTCAGTAATTCATTCATTCATTTAGACAACTGTATAGTAAGTATCTACACAGAGAATGCAAAAATGAATAAAACATAGTTCATATTCTCATTGAATTCACAGTCTAATGGTAAAAAACAGTGCAAATATATCAGAAAAGTGCTCAGTGGTGATTTAAATCTGTGCAAAACATCTGTGACCACAAGATAGACCATCATGAGTTCTACTGCAGGTTTTCTGGAGTGGAAGGAATTTTCTTTTTTTTAATAAATCTTAGAGGCCGAACTACATTTCCAGGAAGAGAAAAGGGAAATAGATTTTAAGTAGGAGTGTATGGATATTTTGTGGAGCAAGAAGAAAGAATGAAGGTGAAGCTGGAGAGGGATGAGGGGATCAGAGTGCAAGGGAGTAACTAAATATGAGGTTGAGACTCATAGCTCATGAGTGCACAGGCACTGTCACCTGTTCTGTGAACCTATCCCTCTTACCTGAATGACTGTCTCTTCAGTACACTCTTCTTTCTCCTGCACCATCAACTTTTAGAAGCCCTTATTTTTCTTATTATCACTAACACGATTTATAATTATGTATGAATTTTTATAGTATTTTGTTCTTTTACTACAGTATATGTCTCTCACCAGATACACCAGCAGGTCAGAGGCCATCGGTCAGAGGCCATTTTCCTCATTAATGTATAACGAGAATTTTGTACATGCATTATATTTTGAAAGAATGGATAAATCAATACACATGGAACAGAAACATACTAATATTCCATGCAGGAAATTTGCCTAATTCTACTTCTGCTCTTTCTGCTTTAGAATGACCACAGTAATAGCAGTATGGAATGGAAGGTGAAGGGAGAAGACCAGAGGCATGAATAGCAAAAAACAAGATAGTTATTTCACTTATGCATGAAATTAATAAACAATTATTTTTAAAATGACTAATAGAAATGCACACTGGAAATAATAAAAAAAAATCAGACAAGCAGGAGTTTGGTTCTATCTTCCTCTATAGGTGCTATGTCACCATGCACACCTTAATCTTTCTGAAAGTCACGTTCTACTATTAAGTAATTAAAACTTAATAATTCCTAAATCCCTGTGTAGTTCTAATGTTCTATGTGACAAAATAGCTAACCGAGTTATAGAAAGAGTATAGAAATGGAAATATTAAATAGAAACAAAAAGTTTCAGAAGGAATACATAGCCTTATATATAGGATGATGTATTTCTCAAATACACAATTTATATCTATTGCTCAAACTTAGATTGGCCAATCTTGGATCACCTTTTTTCTTTCTTATACTATGCTGGTTGGTGGTGTCTGGGCATGATTTGTCCACTGAGACATCACAGGTAAGGGTGAAAATGTCATGATTTCTCACAGGCATGTCTGTAGGGTCTGGGTGTCCAAGTTGTACACTGTACATAGAAGGTCCACCTACGGGGATGCCGTTCACATCTTAGATATGGAGATTCTGGGCTTCCAGGCCTGGTTGTGGAGCAGCAAGAGAGAATCCCCACATAAACCTATCTTGCAGCTATTCATGGTCAGCTCTGCCCTTGTCCCACTGTGCTCCGATGTACCTTGAGGCCGCTTTCTCTTACCTACACACTGGCCTGGCTCTTTCTCCTCATTCAGTTCTGAATCTGTCATAGCCACCTCAACTGAGTGAGAGGGCGGAAGGCACAAAATATGTTTTGTGCTAATGGCACATGTGTCCTGGTAGTATCTATATATGTGTGGGAGGGCAACATTGGGGGCATATGTGCTCAGATTACAGCCGCTGTGCTGCCTGACAGACACTAAAAAGTTTTCTGAGCAGAACTATTGAGAACATTTAAAAAATATTATTTCTTAAAATTTGCCTGATGTCTTTTTCTGTTTTTTTCTTAACTCACAATTTTAGTATTTATTTATTATTTCAGAATATTGCAGGCATATAATATAAGTGCTTTGGTTACATATATTGCCTTTGTACCACCTGAGTGCAAAGTGTGCCCAACCTCCAGACAGTGCGTACCACACCCATGAGGTGTGAATTTGTCCATCCCCTTCACCCCCTCCCGTGTGCTTAACGTCTGATGAATGTTACTTTCATATGTGCACATAAGTGTTGATCAATTAGTAGCAACTTAATGGTGAGTACATGTGGTGCTTGTTTTTCCATTCTTATGATACTTCTCTTAGAAGAATGGGCTCCAGCTCCATCCAGGATAATACAAGAGATGCTAGTTTACCTTTTTATGGCTAAGTAGTCCTCCATGGTATACATATATCACATTTTATTAATTGACTCATGTATTGATGGGCACTTGGGTTGTTTTCATATCTTTACAATTGGAAATTGTACAGCTAAGATGTCTTTTTCTAATTTGCACGAAAGTATCTTTTGGCTCAGTGGCAACCCTTATATGGGATTGTCTTTAAGTTACTACTTTTAGTGTAACCATATGCCTTCAACCCTTGTTATCATCTGAGTCACTCTATTTGTCTGTGACTTTGTTTTGGACCAATTTTGTGTGATCATCATCGTTGATTTTTCACACTTTTTCTATAATAAAAATACAATATATTTGTATAAAAAATACAAATGTCAGTTCTTCCCTGTCCCATTCTATACTCATGGTAAAGCTATAGGCTATTTAGTAGCATATATTGAGTACAACGTTGGGAGTAAGGCAAGCAGTATTTTAACTATAGTGTATCAAACTTTTACAGTGATTTGTGGACATTTGAATCTTCTAAAATAGATATTTGGAGAAACATGTTTCAGGCATATTTTTATTAGTAGTGAGTTAAGTCAAATCACCTTCTCTACTGATCTATGACCACGTAGTCAGCAGATGATTTATAAAGAGGGCAAGAAAACCTCACTCATTCAGCATTAGGCACAGCCCCTGCATGTCAAGCAACACTTCCAGAGAGACTTTAAACTGTGTATACTATACCTAACAGTCCGATGGCTCTTGCTACTCTTCAGGGCCTTCAGTTCAGTTAAAGAACAAAAATGCATTTATTAATTCCCTCATGCAATTCTTGAAGGATTCTAAATTTAGTATTTTCATATAGGAACAAGCTATGGTGTTCTTGCTCATAAAGCTCATCATCAATAGGAGAAACATTAGTGTAAATATACTTTTCTATTTGTATTTCTTAGGTGTATTTCCTTAATATTCAGTCAAATGTTATTTATTGATGGTTTTTCCAAGGTTCCTAAGGGCTTGGTTTTCATTTTTTTTACTATACCAATAAACTTAGACGAATATAGAGATTTCTTGAAACCACAAAGTATTCTCAGGGAAACTATCCTGAATCAGTTTTTATAGAGAACAAAAGGATAATAGTCACCATTTGTTGAACACTAACACTATGCCAGGGATGAGCTAAGTGGGTTACATGGATGAGTGGATTTAGTCTTTACAAAATCCCTATGAAGCCAGAAATAATAATACCCTTATATCAAAAGTGAGGAAATTGAGCATCTCAGGAGTTGAATCACTTACCCAAGGCAAATTAAATCTATGGGTGAAGGTGTAGACTATCATGCAGGATGGCCAACTCCAGAGTTCTCATTCGATGTGCTCCCTCCGACATATATTTAGAGGCAGGAGAGTATAGTTTTTTGGAAAGTACAGTATCTCAGAGACCTCTGATCATGGGTACGATTGCACATCCTGTGAGAAGTTTGGGGAGGACCAGGGAGAGAAAGATGGACAGCCTGTTAGCCATGCTGTATCCTGGGAAGATGGAAAGTCCATGCCACATCAGATCACTGCCAACACCCCACCTGATTGGCACCTCAGTTTGAAGAGAGGAGCTAGCTCGTGGTGGGAACTTAGATGCCGTCTCTTTAAAAGGCAGAATCCATAAAACCAGAGGGGTGTTTCTGGCATCACAGAACCCCAGATCTTTAAAGGAAGCAACATTCCCTCCACCCCAACCTCTGCTTCTATCTTGCCATAGAAACTTTTGGATCCTTGTACCCAGGTCTGGGTGTAGAAGACATTCAAAGACACTCTGCCTACCAAGATTAACCATTCCAGGTACCGTGATGACCTCAAGTGACCAAATTGATCACTTTGGATGAACAACAGTTACAATGAGCCGATCAGAACAAGGACACTGAAAGAGATAAAAAGCATAAATCAACTGCTTGGGACATATAGGTAGCTCCAGAATTCCTATTTCAGGGATATTCTTTGATCCAGGTACATTATCTATGGTAGTCCTATATCTTCCACTAGGATGACAGTCTAGGACCTATTTTACTCCTTGAACACAGTCACCAACTTCAACATACCAGGAATCCCTGTCTACCCAGCCTTAGTCATCTAGGAAAGGAAGGGAGTTTGAAAGGCATCACATGATCATCTTCCATCTTTCTAATTTAATTACTTTTTGAAGAGTGTTTCCACTCAAGATAATGGTGAGCATAGATTTTATGTGAATGAACATCCCCTTAGCCAATTAGTAAGCAAGTATGTGGTATGTGTCAAAAATATATAAATGCTCTGTTTAACAAGAGGATATTTGATTTAATTTTCAGAAAGGAGTTAGGCTGCATGGTAATCTGATTGGAAGGAGGAAGGGGGTTTGAAACAGTATTAGTATAACACTTTACAGAAGGAAGAGAAAATGTTAAGTGTCCCAATAGAAGAGTAGAAGGAGATGGGGTATTGGTGTCGGGAGGGGCAAGGAGGAGGGTGATCAAACACCTCCTAATGAGTCATGCCAAGATAACTTTGAACTTAATTTATAAATGCTAAATATTTTAACTTTAAATAACCGTTAAGCTATTTATTTTAAAAGTGCATGCATTTCTGCATCTATTACATGATCAGATTTTAACAAAGACTTTTCATTTCTTTACAAAGTTTTGCTAAGTCATAGTTATTTGTTACTTTGATAAATTTTTCATTTGTTGCTAAATACATAATGCAATCAATAGGTCTTTTTACAAAGACATAAAGAATAAGTTTGAAATCCCATATCCACTCCAGAAACAAGTCCATTATCTCCACCTATAAAACATTTCCAAAATCAGAGCATTTTTCACCGCTTTATAGTCCTGATCCAAGCTGCAATTTCATCTGTCCTGGATAATAGCAATGTTGCTGCATGATTGACCTCCTTCTTTCCCTTTCTTTTCCAAAGAAGAGACAGAGGGATCTTTTAAAATCATAAATCACATCATGCCTTTCACTACTCAAAATGTTCCAAAATGTTACGGATGTCCATAACATTGAGATAGCTGTCCCACCTCTAAGTTTGAACCTATCTTCTGACTTTCATCTCTTTCTTTCTTCTCTAAGCTTATTAACATTAGGTCACCCAGGCATCTATGCCTGCCCTTTTCTCTGCCTGTTATAGTCTTTTCCCAGACTTAGGATTGGCCCACCTTTGCCCTTGGTTAAGTCTTTTGTCAAGGGTCCCTTCAGAAAAACAACCCTCAAATACCCTACCTAAAACATCTACTTTTCCTCCCTTTATTTTATTTTTTCTGTACAACATTTGTGATTACTTGAAATTGTTTGGTTTTATTTGTTAATTATTTATTATGAGTGTACTTCATGAGAGAAGAAACCTTTAGAGCTGTAACCCAAGATACTCATTTATTGTTGAATGAATTAACAAACTAAAAAGTGAAATATTACTTGTTGAATGAAATATGTGTTAATATTTTAATAATGACTTTTTAGAAGTATATTGCTATATTTTATGCTTGTTACAAATATTAAAGTTGAGTGTGATAAATGCTGCAATAATGAATTTCACCACATAAAGAGAATCAGTCTGCCCGTAGAAAGAATGGGGAGCTTCATAGAAACCACAATAATGATAACAGAGTTGACCTTGATGTCCGTGGATGTCATGTAGGGTACACTTTCGAAGTACAAAGCACTGTGCTAGGTACCTTACCTACATTGTTTGACCTTCACAACAACCCTGTGTAATAAGTAATATTATACCCATTTCACATATGAAGAAATTAAAGTTTAAATGGTTATATGGTTATATAATTTCTCAGTGAAGATTTGGAGTTATCCAGCTTGAACACTAAATCTAGGTCTATTTGGGTCCAAAGTCTGTGCTTTTTGCCTCTCAACTTTATTATTTTAGTTTATTTTAGAGACAGGGTCTTGTAATATTTCCCAGGCTGGTCTCAAAGTCCTGAGTTCAAGTGATCCTTCTGCCTCGGGCTCCCTAGTAAGTGGGTCTACAGACATTTGCCACCCTGCTCAGCCCAACTATATTTTAAAGTTATAGCCTACCCTGGAATGATACTGTCATAAATATAAACAGATCAGTGTCCTGAGAATAGAGCCTTTTAGAATTAAAAAAAAGCATGGCTTTTAAGTTGAACTCTCCAACTTTCTACCAAATAGGCATCAGAAGCATGACTTATTTTGTGTGAGTCTCACTGTTCTCATGCATAAAGCAGAGTAACTTGTCAATGTCTTGTGAATATTAAGCAATCCATATAAATCACTTAGCACAATGCATATAACATAACGATCACTCCCTACAGGCTCTTTCACTCCCCTCAACCCAGCCTGAAACTATGGATCCAATTATGACAAATTACTCATTGGACAATTACCACATATTTGTCAATGAAGTTAGTTTTCTTCTCAAATTCCATGCACCTGTCGACAAGAACGGCTCCTCAGTAATTCAAATATAGACAAACAAATATTTAAAAAAATATATCTTAGTAAATTCAAGACCACATAAAATAGGAATATGTTTTTAGTTTGGTTTAGTTCTGTAGATTTTTAAATAAAAAATGATTCCCAAGACTACCTTAGCAATTATAGAGCCTTCATTATTTAAAATGTATTTGGGTGTTGGGCAGGTGGAATCGGGGAGGGGGTGTGTGGATATTCACATTTAATGAGTGCGGTGTGCAAAATCTGGAGGATGAACACGCTTGAAGCTCTGACTCGGGTGGTGCAAAGACAATATATGTAACCTAAACATTTGTACTCCCATAATATACTGAAATAAAAAAAAATGTGTATGTTAGTTTATTCAATGTCACTTTTTACATTTATATTGTAATAGCTGCATGTGGCCGGTGGCTATTGTATTGCATCATATTGGTGTATAACTATAGTTTAAGAGTAGCAGAAACAAAGAGATTTCTTATCACACCATTAGGGATAGTTACATATCCTAATTTAATAGCAAATTTCTCCAATAGCTATTTAAATTCTCCCCATTTTTACATTGCTTTACTCTGTTGTTTGTTTAGCACAGTTGTCTCTATAAAAATATTTGCAATAATTTTATCCAACATAAATAAAAAATAGTATATAAGTTGGTAAACCTTATTTTAAATCCAAAATCACATTAATTGGGTAACACTGATAGACCATTTATTTAATTTATCAAAGCATATGTTTTCTCATTTTTATAATGATAATAATAATAATAATCCCTTGTCTTACTCTAGATTGAATACAAAAATTGTTAGAGGAATTGGAGAAATAATGTGTATAAATGACACATCATGGTCATTTGTTGTACAAATATAAATACATTGATGTCAAAAAGGGTTATCCTTAAATTACAAGCATCTTTATTTATGGACGTGAGTGTAGATATCATTAAACGGCAAAACAAAACAAACAAGGCAAACAAATAATAAGCAAATGAAACAAACATCAAATGCAATTTGCTATTGTGTAAATAAATTATGGTACTAGTATGGTGATACATTTTTCTAAGGTTGGTATGAATGGGATATGCTGAATACATTAAGTGCAAAGAGCAGAAAAGAACACAAATTCTTAGAAAGTATTACAAAACCAAGTTAGGTATAATTATAGTATATAATTATTAATTACATTAGATCATTTCTAGATAAGGCTATTTCACCTATGTCACCATAACTAAATATTATCTGTTTATAACCATTAATTGAGTAATAATTAAAGCAAGTCTTTACTATGACGGTTTAATTAAAATATTCTGTATTCCTTATTAGATTTCTGTCACAAAGTGCTATGAAATAATAAGTATGGAGACAGTTAAAGCTAGATATTCCATTGTTATATACCATTTTTACCTATATATTTCATATCTCTTCTCATATTCCCCTCTTCAATTTGTTCAGTTGTAATTGGCAACACAAGTCTTGAATCTCTAAGAACTTGGTAAGCATATATATATAAATGTTAAAAAGTTTTTTAGAAAAATACATTTGAAAATTATACATAGTGGCTAACTTTTGGACAGGAGTTTTCCACAGGGGAGAAGCAGAGTATTTTTACACTAGGTTGGCTCTTGTTTTATCTATACATTTCAATCTAAAGTGCACATTTGATAACTGCTTTGCATAAGTAAATACTCTGTTTACTGAAAAAGGGCTACTTAAAGCTCTATTATTTTATTTAATCCAGAGACAGCTCATTCCCTGACAAGTCATTTTTATTCATTCATTATTCTTTCTTGAAAATAGAATAAGTGGCTTACTTTTTTTATAATTGCTTTATTTGGATGATGAATTCTCATTTGCTAGGTCTTACAGGATGTCATAAAATTACCTAAACCCCTAGGGGATATACTTGGAAGGTACAAAAGGGTTTTGATAGTGGATTTTAGCCTTTGATTTCTCTAAGAATATAAAAATCATAAAAACAATAGTTCATTTGAAGGATGGAAGGAACTAAAACATTCACTTTTTAAAAGGTGTTCTCTATTTTTGCTCTGTATTTTTCACTTTGTACTCCTCACTGTGAGTATAATCTTTCTTTGCTTTCCTTTTTGTCTTCACCAATTTTATATGCATGCTCCCAGGGACATAGCCAGGTTCACCGATGTAAGTAAGAGAAACCCTGGTGATGGATGGGGCTGGGTTAAAACTGTAAAGAGTCTCCAGTTCCATCTATATTGTTGCAAAGATATTATAATAATTCATCTTTGTATGGCTGAGTAGTACTCCATGGGATACAAATACCACATTTTATTAATCCACTTGTGGATGGATGTGCACTTTATCTGGATAGATGAATTTTCTGCATTCATTGGTGCCATAGCCAGCATGTTAAAGAAAGGGGAGGGGCATTCTTTGACTATGAGATGATTCATCTGATTACTGATATTGAACTGTTATACATCACATTGGATTCTTCAATAGCCACTTTTTATCACATGCCTAACAACAGCTGAAATGACACCATCTGTCTAGCATGTACTCATGGGGCCAGCCACTCTTTCTACATCCCTACTCAATCCCACCTTTAGCAATGTGCTACCCAGTCCCGGGTTCATGGAAAACATTGATAATTATTCACATCATTCTTTCCTGGGCTTCTTCTCACTCAACAGAGTACTCCAGACAGCCAATTGTAAATAAGCAGAGTTGGCATGTAACGTGAAAACCATTTGCCATCCCTGCAACCTGCTCTTTTAAAATATGGAATGCTTACCAAAGTATTAGAACTTTTGAATTACCCACAAATTTCCAACATATAAAATCTCAATGTAGAAAGCTAGAGCTGAAAGGATTCTTATTGGTCCAACCTCTCTGTATTGCCATGAAACTTGAGGTCTACAGAGGCTAATTTATCTAAAGTCTTGTAAATTATTGTGAATATCCCATTAAAACTCACTGTCTTTCTTTATGCTTATTTCTTTTAGTGGCTATTTCTCTAATGCATTTGAATATGAATTAACATGAAATTTATAAATAGAATGTTCTCCTTTTTGTTCTGCCTAGTAAATTTATCTTTATGGGTCAAGTCACATGCCATTCCCTTAAAACCATTTCCTATATTCTCT